TACGTGTGTGAGCCCTAACCGAGTATGGGCTCGAAATATGTGCGCGAGCTCCAATACGTGTGTGAGCCCTAACAAGAGTATGGGCTCGAAATATGTGTGCGACCTCCAATAGGTGCATGAGCCCTAACACAAGTATGGGCTCGAAATACGTGCGCGAGCTCCAATACGTGCGCGAGCTCCAATACATGCGCGAGCTCCAATACATGCGCGAGCTCTAATACGTGCCTGAGCCCTAATACAAGTGTGAGCTCTAATAAGTGTGTGAACTCCAATACGTGCGGGAGCTCTAATACGTGCGGGAGCTCTAATACGTGCGGGAGCTCTAATACGTGCGGGAGCTCTAATACGTGCGGGAGCTCTAATACGTGCGGGAGCTCTAATACGTGCGGGAGCTCTAATACGTGCGGGAGCTCTAATACGTGCGGGAGCTCTAATACGTGCGGGAGCTCTAATACGTGCGGGAGCTCTAATACGTGCGGGAGCTCTAATACGTGCGGGAGCTCTAATACGTGCGAGTGTTTTGTTTTTTGTTTGTTGGGGGGGGGGGGGGGGGGGGGGTTTGTAATTTTTTACTTTCAATAGACACAAGAGTACACAAGAACATACAAAAGGTAAATATATTAGAAATTAGATTTGATTAGGTAGATTTGATTAGGTTTAGATGTACTTTATTATAGAAGTACTATTTTTATGTAAAATGCCAATGCCATAATACCCAGCATTGTTGTCCTTTACTACACGCACCATAAACAGAAGAGTTACGTTAGGGAACACTCCACATACTCCAAAAAGATGCCACCTCGATAATGCCAGTCCATGTGCCAGTATTTCATGGGCTATCACATTTGTGGCAAAGCGTTTCAAGGTAAAACCATTCATGAATCTTTATACACCTTAAATAACACGTGATGATTTGGCACGATTAAAGCTCTCTAAGATTTGTTTGGAAACTGAATCCAAATTTGAAAGGTATTCCAGATGGAAAGAAAAAAGGCAAAGATCTGAGAACGCCATCGCCTAAATTGAACATACAGCAACCTGTCCCTAGTTTCATGCTTGCCAATTGTAGCCTTGCATGAAGCGCACACAATGACAGGTGAAAAAAAAAACAAGGTTGTGAAATGCAGAGGCAGGTATTGCAATCAATGAATGAGAGGCTGGAGCCAGCTCGATGATGCATGACAAGGCCCATAGAGAAACAGCTGGCTGAGCTGAGGGACTCGAAGAATAACACAGGGATAGAAAATCCTCCAGCAAAAGCATTTTTCATTTATGGATAAGAATAGATTCCATATCTAGAAGCCGGAGATAGATCTCTCATCATTTCCTGGCTATCTACAGAGGAATCATCACAGATTACAAGGAACACGTCTTTATATATATATACAATGATCGGTTCTGGGTAGATGATGGTGGACTGAACCATATATCCGCTTTTCACATCTCCAGGGAACTCCACGGACAAAACCCCTGCACCTGAGTTCCCAGCCCCCATCTGCCTGCTGCAGCCATAAGGAGGTTTCCTTTCTGACGTTCATTTATTTATTTGGCATCATGCATAATTCAGCAGGGCAGTGCAACTCCTCCATATGCAGCAGCAGTAGTGAGACTCCAATGGAAGAGGATGGTGGAACTTTACTAGGGAGCTTTGGATCAAAAGCTGGTACTCAAGCAACTCGCTAGCATAGCCAAAACAGCAGTAATAGCTAAAAAAAAAATAAAGAGTTTTACAAATGAGAACACAGGAGCAATAAATCCAGAGCAAAAATGTTCCATACAAAGTGTCACAATAGGAAGTGGATGTAAAACCTGCAATTTACACTTCGATCACTGAAAGCTAATCCTAAAATAACATTTACAAGTTTCCACGGGAGGTAATGTGTGAAAAGCAGTGTTAACATCGGAGATCATACAGATGGAGGCAGTCATGACTAACTTAAAGCCCATCTCAGGGCAAACAGTAAGCTGTACCTCTGTAGTACCCAGCACTGCAAGGGTTAAGTGCTCATGTATGTATAGCAGACTCAAATAAAGCTGTATTAAGTCCCCTGAACCCGACTTCTGCAGCGCTCACTTCTTCTCCCCCTCTGCATCCTCATGTCTAATGACATCATCGGTCCTCATACCACCTGGGCAAAGGAGGCTGTGTGGACCGGTCTAGCAACCCAGGCAGAGATGGCGGGAGTGGGAATCAAGGAGGTAAAACAGCTTTAATGGCGTCTTCTGGCGCTCACATGCACCACTCTGGGGTTGTGGTATACTTTCATCTCTGCATACCCTTGCAGGGGTTTCTCATGCACATCCTACCCCCTTCTTTACTGAAACTGGATTCATGGTTGGTACCCCTGGAATTTCTACCAGTCTCAGGGGTATTCTCTTTATTGGATATCACCCTTTCTTTGTTGCACGATGGGTTGTCTGTTGACCTGCTTTTCTATTGACCAGACCGGCTGCTAGACTGGTCCCTGCAGCCTCTCTCCCCCATTGCTCTGGCTGGATGACTGTCCCTCGTCATCCTCAGGTATAATAAACTCTATTAGACGTGATGACTCACAGGTCCTTAGACCACAGGAGCATGGGGGGGGAAGACGGCAGGAACTGGTCTAGCAGCTGGGCCGGATCGAGGTTCGGGCGAGTATCTATGTTATTTTAGACCCTAGACCAAAATGAGCACTTAACCCGTGAGGTGCAGGGCTATCCTCACTACAGGTGTAAGTTTGCACGGGGGTGGGCTTTACATACTTTAAAATAAAATCAGTAGGTTTTTTTTCTTCTAAATATTGATCCACATTCTAAGAGATGTTCACATATGAATGGGCTCCCTGCCACAAAGCCACCATAGACCAGGGCTGGACAAATCCCAGCAGCCAGGTCGCCAATGTTCCTTTATAAAAAACGACAGCTGGCGCCTAACTTTTGAGGTTTTCTCTAGTTGTTGTCAATGGAGCTGGACTGGACACACTGGCTCCTGAAGTCCATATTCATTTGTCCAGCCCCGGCACAGAAACAGAGCGGACAGCCGAGATGAGGCAAGTGTAAATTACAAATGAGACAACACGCAGTGGTACGGCATACCTAGGACTATGCAAAGTGTCGAATGAAGTCACATTCACTAGGTAAGCACCAGTTCAATTTCTGTACAATGTTAAATATACAATAGAAATGTAAACAGTAATAAATATACAATAGAAATGTAAACAGTAATAAATATACAATAGAAAATCATTTGAATTACAAATACTGAATTTGTGTTCATCAGAATCATACAATAGCCATCAAGCATTAGTTAAAGCAGGGGTGGGCAACTCCGGCCCTCCATCTGTTGTGGAAATACAAGCCCCATGGGGCACTGCAAGACTGACAGCCACAGGCATGACTTCCAAAGGCAGATGCATGTTGGGATTTGTAGTTAAAGAACATCTGGAGTGCCAGAGTTGCCCACCCCCGCGTAAAGCACAACTAAACCCAAAAGCAAAATGGAATATATTGCAGCTGGTCAATCCTTAGATGTGGTGGCTGCATTGGTTTTCTTTTTTTTAGTCTTGTTTCCCTTTATTTTCACCTGCTGATCCAGGCAGTATTATTTTTCATCTTCCTTTACTCAGCCAAGCTGTCCAGCAAAATGGCAGACAGGTTGGAACAAACCATTTAACACTGACAGGGGTGCCTACAATGGTTAGCTTTTATTCAGTTATGGAAAACCTTTATCCCAAAAGGAAAATAAACTGTTGCCGTAACTGCGTTAAAACAAAAAGGTGTTTAGGTGCAGTTTGGATTTCATTTGTTACTCAAGTCCATCCAAATCTGCTAGTATATCTGACACTACCCTCTACACAGGACGACAATGGTGCTGTCCAGGGGTGGCTCCGTAGATCCGTGGAGTCACCCAAAGACAGGAAGAAATGTTACTGGCCAGATCACCATGGGCAAATAAAGGAAAACTAATGCAGCCATCACGTCTAAGGACCGGTACGCCACAATATATTCCACTTTATGTTTTTGGGTTTAGATACACTTCAAACACAGCGTACAAAAGATATCAGCGCTCGTTTTTTATTAGTGTCATATTAATGCCAATGTCAGCAGGCGCTTCCAAACAGAGTGCGTACGCTCCAAACCTAAACAGGAGCCATCCGACCCACACAGCTGTACCCAGCAACTAAAGTCAAATCGTAGAAATCTAATGAAATCCGCCCCCTACCGCTGGAAGCGCAGCAGAAGACATTCTAGAAATGCAGAGGACTTCTGTCGTTTCTGACGAATATCAAGACTTGAATAGACCCATCAGTCTTCCTAATAGTATGAGAAGGTGACAACATTACAACCTAGCTGTATCCGGCAGGCATGACAATTATGCCAGGGACTGCCAACATCAGAACTTTGATATGCTCAGCGCCAGGTAATTAAATGGTGACAGGCTGACAACATGAGAACTTGGGCACATGTCACATCAATCATGCCAGGTGGGGATGTACTGACGGGCATCCCCAGGGTGGCCGACATCACATCCTAGCTAGAGATCAAAGTAGCTGTCAGTCATGCTCAGGGATGTCATGATCACTACATGGGGGGGACCCAGAATTTGTGCCAACCATGCCAAAAGTATCTAGGAAACCACAGAACTCACACTATGATACCAACAACTATGCTGACTATGATGCCAACAACATAACCTGGAACTCCCATAAGAGGAGTCACATGAGCCTGGTGGTGCCCATCATAGCTGCCAGTCACGCCAAGGCAAATCAGCGCAAGTGATGCCAACACAGGAATACCTAGAAATCATCCTAAAGAGAATAAGAATGCCAGGGATTGTAAACAGCAAAACTTGACATGCCCAACAGTGCCAATCATACCAGAGGGCGACAGCCCAACAACGTGCAGGCAACGGCACTGACAAAAGAGGTGGTGGAGAGCACAGCAACCCTACAATGACCTTCGTAGGGTTAATGACCCGGGAGAGGGTGGCTGGCTGGCATTGGGGGGTGGGGGCTGCTCACCTTTCTGCCCGCTGAAAGCCGTGTACCAGGATAGAGAGAGGAAGATGCAGAAGCAGAAGGCGAGCAGAGTCAGGAAAGTGCCATTGCGGAGCCTCATCTCCTCCTCCTGCTGCTCCTCAGCCTGGGCGGGGGCGGCTGCATGTCCGGGGTTCGGGGGGTGGAAGGTGTCCGCTGTACCACTCTCTCTTTCTGTGTCTCCTCTATAGCCGCGGTGTATAGCACACTGCTCCCGAGAGCGAGAACTGACACAGCCGAGCGCGGCACCTACAAGCCGACACTGCGCACGGGGGCGCGCCTCACATAAGCGCGTTACCGAGCACTTCGCAATCACGCGTCTTTAGGGGGCGGCGGCTGTGAACCTACACTGAGGCGGGCGATGTGCCCGGGGTGACGTCATCCGGCTCTGTGACACCATCACAACAATAACACAGCGCAGGGCAGAGTATACCCCATATATTGTCTTTTGTACTGAGCCTGTATACCCAGTGCTGGGGGTGTTACTAGTACTCCTCAACACTGCTTGGAGCTACACAGTGCATTACTAGTACTCATCAACACTGCACGGAGCTACTCAGTGAATTACTAGTACTCATCAACACTGCATGGAGCTACACATTGCTGGTGCCCAACACTGTGTGCAGAGTGCAATATTAGTAAATCACAACCCTCTAGCGAAATATATAGCAGTACCAGTGTAATAACACCCTGTACCCAGCTACAAAGTGTATCCAGTGTTTTGTAATAGCAGAATACCACCCTGTACTCAGCTACAAAGAGTAAGTATGAGATAGGAGTCCACCACCATGCCATACCCAGCTACAAAGTGTAACCAGCAGTGTGAGATAGGAGTACGCCACCATGCCATATCCAGCTACAAAGTGTAACCAGCAGCGTGAGAAAGGAGTACGCCACCATGTCATACCCAGCTACAAAGTGTAACCAGCAGTGTGAGATTGGAGTATGCCACCATGTCATATCCAGCTACAAAGTGTAACCAGCAGTGTGAGATAGGAGTACGCCACCATGCCATACCCAGCTACAAAGTGTAACCAGCAGTGTGAGATAGGAGTACGCCACCATGCCATACCCATCTACAAAGAGTAACCAGCAGTGTGAGATAGGAGTACGCTACCATGCCATACCCAGCTACAAAGAGTAACCAGCAGTGTGAGATAGGAGTACGCCACCATGTCATACCCAGCTACAAAGTGTAACCATCAGTGTGAGATAGGAGTACGCCACCATGCCATACCCAGGTACAAAGTGTAACCAGCAGTGTGAGATAGGAGTACGCTACCATGCCATACCCAGGTACAAAGTGTAACCAGCAGTATGAGATAGGAGTACGCTACCATGCCATACCCAGGTACAAAGTGTAACCAGCAGTATGAGATAGGAGTACGCTACCATGCCATACCCAGGTACAAAGTGTAACCAGCAGTATGAGATAGGAGTACGCTACCATGCCATACCCAGGTACAAAGTGTAACCAGCAGTATGAGATAGGAGTACGCTACCATGCCATACCCAGGTACAAAGTGTAACCAGCAGTATGAGATAGGAGTACGCTACCATGCCATACCCAGGTACAAAGTGTAACCAGCAGTATGAGATAGGAGTACGCTACCATGCCATACCCAGGTACAAAGTGTAACCAGCAGTATGAGATAGGAGTACGCTACCATGCCATACCCAGGTACAAAGTGTAACCAGCAGTATGAGATAGGAGTACGCTACCATGCCATACCCAGGTACAAAGTGTAACCAGCAGTATGAGATAGGAGTACGCTACCATGCCATACCCAGGTACAAAGTGTAACCAGCAGTATGAGATAGGAGTACGCTACCATGCCATACCCAGCTACAAAGTGTAACCAGCAGTATGAGATAGGAGTACGCCAGCCACCATGCCATACCCAGCTACAACGTGTAACTAGCAGTATGAGATAGGAGTACGCCACCATGCCATATCCAGCTACAAAGTGTAACCAGTGCTGGGCAATAACAGTTCACCAGCACACCGTGTCCAGCTACAAAGTATAACCAAAATAAAGCTTCCAGATAAAGCCTGGGCACCAAAAGGTGCTGACTGTTGATTCCAAATTGGGAGTCCATTGCTATAGGGTGCTCTGGGAGTGTGTGGTGTGACATTCCTGTTTTTAGACATGTCATTGCTGAGGGATGCCTCACAAATGCTATGGCTTCTATAACCACTCCAGTGACTTGTAGCTTCCCTTTTACTTCGGGTGTTTGAATGGAGCAGCAGCGAAGTAAAAGCAAAGTATGTTCATGCACCTGTAAATGTCTGCATACAGTGAACCTTTTGCTTTGCCTGGGATGGGTAAAGCACAGGTTTGCTTGAAAGCTGGCCATACACTGCTTGTATTTCGGCATCTCAGCCTAAATTCGAGCAGTGTGGTGATCTGTCAGCTCCCCTCCATTCAGCAAAACTTTATGTTTTCAATTGACTATGGTTAAATGAGCCCTAAATTCTCAGCTGATCAGGGACAACAGCCAATCAGCTGCAGTCGCTGTTCAGGTATTCTGACAGTGGTACACCCGCTTCTGTCAGAGTAGAAAAGCCTGACGGGGGGCATTCTCCTATCCATGTGGTTTAGATTTTGTGTAGATGTCAGTGAATAGTATTATGACAACTCAAACATCCATCATCCAGGTATTTACCAGCCAGTTTTGACAAACCTGTATCCAGATTGCATGTGATCTATTTGCAGCTTTTTAGGGGAAAGACATAGGCATTCATTTATAAAAGTTCAGCATGGCATATAGTTGGGTGGATGCCATTCGTCTGGCACTGGCACCCCTCGATGACACTGATGAGGATATGAATTCCAATCTCTGACAGCACCATCTAGGAGTGATAGTGTTGCCTTAACGGCAGTCTGGTGGAATTTTTTATAAATGAGCCGCTTGAATCAGGGGTGGGCAAGCTCCGGCCCTCCAGCTGTGGTGCAACTACAAATCCCATAAGGCATTGCAAGACTTTAACAGCCACAGGCATGACAGGATTTGTAGTTTCACCCCTGCCCTAAAGAGTAACTCCAGCCATTTATTCAATGATTTGAATCATTCTACATTTGTGTCAACTTGGAAAAGGCAGAACTTGTTTTCAGAAGAAGATCGGCGGAAACCCCTGTATTTATCCTTGTACAGGTTTCCTTTAAAACAGAACTCACACTAAAATAGCAGGGTCAGTTTGTTCAGTGAGGACCCATTCCATCATCACAAAACACTGCACAGAGATGGAAGAAAACTGTGTGTAGTTAGTCAATATACTTATCTTACCTTCACTTCCACCCACGATGGCGAGGATCATGTCACCATCTTGGAATGCAGAGTAGCTGAACTCTCGCAACAAGATGCTTCTGCATTGTGCTGGGGCATCATCTTTGGAGGTATTCTGCATTAAAGTGACACTAAACTCAGAATTGAAATCTCACATATGCATTGAAGTACCTTAAAGGAGAACTATGGGGTTAGGGCTTTTCCCCATAGTTCTTCGAAGGGTAACGGGAGGACACAAACTAGCGTCCTCCCGTTACCCAAAGCTCAGTATACCGCGAGCTGCGGCTTGCGGTATACTGAGATGCCGCAGCTCAAACTGATCCCGACAATTATGTCTGGATCCGCCCAGCTGCGCGACTGATAGCTGGCTGTGCCAGCTGTACCCACCCCCTCCCATGTCTGTTCCGCCAGTCAGCGCTGGAGGATCGAACAGGGGAGAATCCAGTCACTCCCCTGTCACGGCTCTCTGCAGTGACAGGATCGAAAAGTGAGCGAGCGCCGGCATGTGCTTTCTCACTTCCCGATCTACTGAGCCGACCTGTGACAGTTTCATTGTCACAGGTCGGCTCAGATTATGAGGCTGAGTGAAAAGCACTCACCTCATAGTTCTCCTTTAACTATTAACAAAAATGTATCTTATTTGTGTATCACTCGGCTATAGATCCTCTAATCATCTCTGAATTCATGCTGACATTGTCCTTCCTTCTGGAGGGTGGCTGCTTTTGCTCTCCATGGTCCCTGTGTGTGTTTAGAAGTAGCCACCGCTCCAAGCTCGCTCCTGTGACGAACTACAATCTCGCGTTTAGTTTACTAATTTGTATTCAGATTGTAGTTCATCACAGGAGTGATCTTGGAGCGGTGGCTACTTTACAGTACACACAGGGACCATGGGGAACAAAAGTAGCCACCTTCCAGAATGAAGGACAGTGTCACCACCAATGCTGAGATGATTGGAGGATCTACAGCTGAGTGATACACAAATAAGATACATTTTGTTAATGTACTTGAATGTATTTTTAAGAATTAACTTCCTGAGTTTAGTGTCTCTTTAATATTTGAGGTACTCAGCGGCTCCTAGGATGGTGATGTCACCCTGTGCACTAAAAGAGCAAGGTCAGCTTACCCAATGACGATACCAAAATTGGGAGGGTAATAGAAACAAACCAAGATAGTATAACTTTACAAGAGGACCTGGATAAAATAGGGGAATGGGCAACTTTATGGCAGATGAGGTTTAATGTTGATAAATGCAAAGTTATGCACTTTGGGACAAAAAACACGCAAATGGGTTATACAATAATGGGTAGGCCGCTAGGTAAGTCTGAAATGGAGAAAGATTTGGGGGTCACTGTAGACCATAAACTCAATAATAGATTACAATGCCAGGTTGCGGTAAGCAAAGCTAGTAGAGTCCTGTCCTGCATCAAGAAGGGAATGTTTTGCAGGGATAAGTCTATAATTTTGCCACTTTACACATCACTGGTTCGGCCTCACCTGGAGTATGCGGTGCAGTTTTGGGCACCGGTACACAGAGGGGATGTCCTTGAACTGGAGAGGGTCCAGCGAAGGGCGACCAAACTCATCAAAGGGATGGAGGACCAGAGCTATGAGACACGGTTACTAAATTTAAATATGTTCACGCTGGAACTAAGGAGATTAAGGGGGGACATGATTTTCATGTACAAAATGTTCCATAGTCATAGCAACATTAGCAACAAACTCTTTACGATTAATTCCGTAACAAAGACTAGAGGCCACCACCTGAAACTGGTAGAAAAAAAATTCAAACACAAGGGGCGAAGGGGGTTCTTCTCAGTTCGCGCGGTTAGGGTCTGGAACTCGTTGCCACAAGCAGTGATTTCAGCTAATAGTGTGGAATCGTTCAAGAAGCTTTTGGACGATTTCCTGAGAAACGGTAATATACAGGGGTACAAGTACTCCTAAAAACGAGATGACTCGGGGATCTTTACACACACACACACACAATAGGTTGGACTTGATGGACATGTGTCTTTATTCAGCCTCAAATACTATGTAACTATGTAA